AGGAACTCTGTAAAAAATGGCTGTAATTCCTAAACGGTTAATGCAATATTTTTGTTAAACCCCTTGAATTAAAGCTGAAAGTCTACGCTTCAGTCACATCTTGACTGCTTCATTTCAAATCCACTGTGGTGGTGTACAGAGGCAAAATTACCAAAACTGTGTCACTGTCCCAATATTTATGGACCTGACTGTAATTCTTTGTCTGCCTCCAAGTTATTCAAATTTTAATAAAAAAACTAAAAAGCTAAACAAAACATATGCAAACAAAACAAACAAAACAAACCAACCAAACCAAACTAAACCCAAATAAAACAAAACAATCCAAAACAACCAAATTCAAAAACAAACCACATCAACCAAACCCAACCTATCCAAACTAAACCCAAATAAACTAAACCAACTAAACCAAATAAACAAACAAATCACACCAAACTCAAACAAACTGAACCAAGCAAAAAAATCACCCAGAAAAAGTTGAAAAACAAACACAGTCAATCTACATTTTCTTCAGGAAATACACTCTTCTTGTTTTAATGATGTTGTCATTATAAATACTACCATACCCAGAATCCTTGTCTTCTCCAATCAGCCAATCAGAAATTCAGGAAAAAAAAGATTTATACACGTGATAGGAGGTTGTGATTTTTTTTTATTTTTTATTTTTGGAGCTATTGCACTTTTATTTTTGCAGTGAGGGCAAATTTGCAGTGTTTAAATTGTGAAATTGGTGTTTTCCCGTATATATGAGCAACAATAAAACTTGCATTTGAAACATGTATGAAAAAAATAGTGTGTTTTGTACAAGTTATACGAATTCTGGGAATGGTCTTTTAGTAAAGTACTGTATGTACTAATTAGGGCTGTGACCAGGGTGTAACTGTCTGGTAATATAGAAAAAAATAACTGTTTTTTTTGTAAATTCATGGCCAAGGCAGTAAATGGGTAAATTCAGTTTTCAGTTTTCTGTTTTTTATTTCAAACCGGATATGGATTGCACTAGTTGCACAAACGAAAGCGTGTGCACACACACACACACATACACACACAGTTTCTCCCTGTGTCTTGCTCTGAAGCTTGGCAGGGCGACCCATCAGAGTGTCATTGTCCTTGAACAGACTCCCAAAAGAAGCAGATTGACAGCTGCCGGCTCGGCTGACAGATGGAAACGAGTGTGTTGGAGCGAATATACAGTCGCTTAGTGAACATCAACACACTGCTCGTTTTTTTCTCTCTTCCCAATGGTTCTACATTGGCTCCAAAACCATGAAAGGGAATCAGAGAGAACATCATCATCCTGAACCAAAGTATATGGGAAAATAGATGACATTGAGTAGTAAAAGAAGGAGGAGGAGGAGCAGGAGGAGGGGGAGGTGGAGGGGTGGATGGATGATGGGAAGAAAGAAGAATGGCAGCAGAGAATTCGCCTGGCGGGTGTGAAGTTTGCTGATGTGCAGATGTCATCGGCGCTGTGAAGTGGAAATAATAAGGAATTAAGATTGTCTCTGAAGACAGGAGATTTCATGCAAATGGAATTAGAAGAGAGAAAGAAAGAAAAGGAGGAGAAATATAGCAGTAGCGTGTTTCTTCTCTGCTGCATTTCCAAGGAGTGACAGACAATTCCTCTAACTTACTTTTGGAAAAATAAGGCAGAAAAACAACTCTTTGTGCAATATTGCTATACATGTTTCACTATTTTCTGATATGTAAGGAGTAAAGCACTTGGGGGTGTGCTGTTATAGGAAAATAATCAATGACAGAGTGGTGTGATGCAGCCTGATAAGAAGTAAAATTACTGTTACCACCATGAGTTTGATTATTTTATTCCTCTTTTCCCTCAACAATTTACCAACATGTCCAGTTGTTTTTTTTTTTTAATTAAAGAACTTTTTATCCATTTATACATAACTTTAATGTTGTAGATCATCCATGAAACAAGTTAGTTCCTGTTATCACTTACGTTATAACACCTATAAACTGTCAATACTACATGCCATACATATGGTAAGTAACTCTATGAGTTGTTACTATAGAAAAAATAATATATTAGTACGAGTGCATCAATATAAACCTGTGATTTGTCTTTCAGCTTGAACTATTGTCAGAGCTGCCATTATAGAAAATTAATCAACACCTTCCAACCAATCAGAATAGAGAATTCAACAGTGCTGTGGTAAAAATATGGCTTAAATACAGTTACTAATCCAAATACAGAACTTTCCATAGCCATATCCAGGACTTACGTTCATTTCTGGGAGGTTCTGGGGTCGAGGCTAGTGATGGGTGAGTATTTGACTAATCTAGCACTCTTCATGTCACCATTTAATCAATCAGTAAAATATTCATAAACTAATTTGCTTCTGTAACATGACATAAAAAAAATCTGATTTTTGAAATTTGAGCTGGACAAGTTTGAATTAATTTTAACAATGTTCTTAGTAACTTCAAGAGAGCGAAAAAAGAGAGGCTACTGTTCATAGCTGCTGTTACATAAGTGATAACAGGAACTATCTCATTTTGCAGACATTCTACAACATTAAACGTAACTATATACAGACAAAAAAAAGTATGATGTCATACTGTAATTAATCGGTTTTCACATTTAACTGTGACACTGCCACAGCTTTACTCATATCTAATGCTCAATCTGGTTGTTGTACTCTTCAACCCAGACATCTCCATTACCATGGTTTTAATATGGTACTAATGTTAACTGCTATGTTAGTAACAGTAAACATTTGACAGACATCCAGTAGAATTGAAATAATTATAAAACTGAATACTTTCAAGCATTTGTTTCTAGAAGGTTATCTGCTAACAGAATAATGCAATTTTGTGTTTGGACTAAGTAAGAATTTCTAATTAAAAAACAACGCTAAACAATCGTTTATTTGTATTATAGTAATTTACTAAGAAAAATATTGGATAAATTGAGATATTTACCTGCTAAGAGAAAGTTGGCAACATCTACAGTTTAGCCGTAGGACTAAAGATTTTTCATCCTTTGCTACAGCAATACAGGAGCCACTGAGAAACGATGCTTTTCTGTTTTCTCAGATAAACCAAATATGAATAAAATTCATCCAGCCAAAAAGCCAATTCTCTAACGTAGCAGTCACGCCGAAGTCTTCATTTGTTACTGTTTCTCGGCTCACATCTAAAAAAAAAAAACAAAACAAAACAAAGCACAACACAAATGAGCTAGCTACTGTTACCACCACAAAAATATGCTCTTCTCTTCAAAAATATGCCATCAGCACTGCATTTATCATTTATCTTTATGCATGGAGCTATCTCGTCCACTGATATACACTGGGGTTTTTGTAGAAAATTCTTTTCTCTCTCTCTCTCTCTCTCTCTCTCTCTCTCTCTCTCTCTCTCTCTGCTTGCTAGGATTCAAGCACCGCCGAGTTGACGCTCTTGGGCCCTTCAGCAAGGCCCTTAACCCTATCTGCTCCAGGGGCACTGTATCATGGCTGACCCCAGCTTCCAAACAAGAAAAAAGAATTTCACTGTGCTGTATATGTGAAAAAGAAAGGCTTCTTCAAAACAGGACATGCTTTAGCCAGGCTAATTTGTCTGTTGGTTATTGTTAGTAATAATTCCACTTAGCCTGTGTATATTAGTT